ATGGCTGAAGGTTTATTAGGAAGTAAAGAACATGTAGATGGCTAAAATGTTATTTTTTCTGTCTATTGCTTCTCCAAAAGATCAACAGGAAAACTGTTTAGACTCTGAAAGGGCTTTTGGTCATCTCTCTGCTTTGGTTGCTGTTGGATCCCCAATGATATGATTTGAGGAATGGTTTTAAATGTGTTAAGCAATAAATATATTTTGGAGGTAGTTGCTGATTAGAGTCCAAATCGATTATGTCCTTTCTTGTAAGCATTTTCTAGATTTATTGGAGGCCTAATTAATACGTGAAGCATACATGGGCTCTGAGTCCTTGAACCCTGCAGACTACTGAAGCCATGCAGACAGACTCATCAGTTTAGTGCCTCCCCCACCTGGGTACTATCTGCAGGTTAATTACTGAAGCTTGCTTTCTGTAGACCTCATCAAAAAGCAGAGCAGGTAAAACTGAAGTGGTTCATACAGTTGGATAGCCATGTCAGCCTATATTCCTCATACTGCTTGACATACAGTAAAGCCTAGTTCACACTTCAAGATTTAAGCCCAATTTGCTGGTCGGTGAGCTCGGTGACCGTCAGGCTGTGATCGAGGGTAAATCAGCAATCGATCGTTGGTCGCCAGTCGGTGTGTGTGTGTGTGTGTGTGTGTGTGTGAACTACTCAACGAATTATCAAAACGGCTCCCTGAGGCGTCGCTGACAAATCGCAGATGCCAGCCACATTCCTAGCATGCCAAATATCTGGAGGAGTCGGCCGACTCGACATCCACATCCAGCCAATGAAAGCAGGCAGCTGGCAGAACAGGCAGATACTTTTTCACTGTAAAACACTTTTAACTCACCTCCAGCTCTCTCTAGCTCAGACAATCCCTGCTACCTGCGTGTGCTAATCCATTCTTTCACCCATCTTTATAATAACAAACAGCTGTTTGTGTAGTGTCGCATCATTTCCTGTTTAACATTTCACCTTTGTTTTCTTGACAAAACGTGGTTTGGAGACAGCATCGGGTGACAGTTGTTGTCAGCTCGTATAGTGTGTGACCCCCTGTCAACGATCTGTGACGTAGTGTGAACACCACAACGACTTCAAGATCCTGTCACAAAACAGCAAGTTGTGTAGTCTGAACAGCACGCCGCTTGGCCGACTCGAAGTCGTGTAGTCTGCACGAGCCTTAAGTTGCCTTTGGATAAAGTATCAAGGCTTGACAATAACAGTGGCCCGATGGCCTGGGGCCAGTAAAAAGTAACGTCAGGACAGGTAAACTAGCAACTCACTGAAACCATGCAGATGGAACTTAAATCTGCATTCTCTCTTACTGCCAGCAGGGGGCTAGTTTGCTGGTTGCAAAATGAAGTCCGGCTCCATTAGAAATAATGGTAAAATGTTGCTACTTCTCAGCAGAATTATTACCTCAGTTAACACTTTCAAAGTGAGGTTATGGTCTCTGTCGCTAGTTTCAAGTATTCTTCAACACAACATGATGTTCATTAAGTAAATTATAGTCCTATTTAGGGGGAAATGACAATAATGCAGCAAATGCTTTTGGGCAGAACTACCTTGTGATTGACTACCATGTTTGATACCATGGCGACCTGTTGATCACAAGTATCACAAATCAGGATAGAGGCGACTTGTATTCGCTGCTTTGAGTACATTTTTTTTTATTAAATGGCTATCAGCAGGAGAGAGAGCATGTCATGTTTGAGTCTTTTAGTATGTTTTGTTTTAAAAGTAAATAGTTTTGTTAACCTTTTTTATTTTTTATAATTTTAACTGCGATTACATTTTAGTTTTTTTATATCCAGGATGTATTTAATAACCGATTTAAACATGTTAACAGTATAACATAACTTATAAGTCTTTGGTTTTGTTGTAACACTGATAAATAACTGTTGGAAGGAGGGCCACAAAAAATTGTCTTCAGGCCAGTACGTTTCAAACCGACTGGCCCAGTGAGGCCAGTTGCAAAAAAGTTTAACGTTGAGCCCTGAGTATACATCTCGATATACCTGTCTACCAGAAATCTGGCTATCTGAAGCCTTAAATGGAAAGTGTTATTCTCTTTCTTTTGAGGACATTAAGCTTGTTATATGGACTTTCTGACAAATTGGAGAAGATTGGATAAGATATTTCCTGACAAAGTTATGTTTTGGTCTCCAATCTAATCAGAGTTAAAATATGAAGTGTCTTCCCGTACAAAAAACGATTTCCTCTAATGTACAGTGAACTCAAATTTGGTTGTCACTTAGTTAGGTTAGGTTGTAACAAGTCTGTAACGTTAATTTCAGCCGTTTTCTCACTCATGCGTGTCCTGTAAATAAATAGAAAATATGAAACTGTTTAAAGTTAGATGACACATGGTAACATTATGTTACCTTACCAGGAGCGGTGCAGAAATTGCTTTTAACATTGAGGCGATTTTAATTGTCTACTAGTAACAGAAACATGCTCCTCATGCTGGTAGTCCTAAAGTACCATGCTTGTGTGGATACAAAAAAGCAGGATTTGCGGTGCTACCGTTAACCTTCTTGACAACGTGCTCTGGGATGCTTTCACTTCATGTGTCTGTGCTGCTTCACGTTGTTCGCTCACAGCAGTTGTGCTGCAGTGAAGCCATTTCCAATTCACAGAGCTCACAGAGGACCATGTTGTACTCCAAACTTTAGATGGCTGAAGGTGCAGTGTGTCGTGTTCTGTGTGGGTAAGATAAAATCTATGCTGTGGTTATGAACATATCAACACCTATATTGCAAAAGACTGGGCTTCTGTGACATTCCTGGTGGAAATCTTACAGCTTGTAAAAGTGCTACATGTTAGAATTGGTGGACTTGTAGTTTGGTTGGACAGCTGGATTCCACAGGGAATGGCTGCGCCATTCTAGACAGTGCTTGTGGTTCCACCAGATGCACCACAGAGCGTTTCAAAAGCGTCCCAGAAGCAGCTCTATGCTCTGAACTGGGCAGGAAGTCAGACACAGACACTGCATAGAGAATACTCTCAGTTTTCAAAATAAAACGCCCTGTGCAGACTCCTGATAGCATATCAACAATAAACACAATTGAAACAGACAAAATAGAAACATGTTAACTATGCAGCCTACTTTACCAAGATTATTCTCCAACCCTTTGACATTTATCCCAGATATTATACAAGGGTGGAAACACAGGTTTTGTTGTTAATCTTGTATTGATTGTTCCCATATTTACATAGACAATGTGTTGCCACCGTGTCGAAAACCCAAAAAATGCACTTCGGTGTAGCATTAAAGCCCCCTCCAGCCAGTTTTAACTGCCATTTTTGGTTAACGTTCTTTCTCAAACAGAGAATGGGGGTGTGGTTAATAGTCGGACGTAATACATTACCATGACACCCAAAAACTGACCGGCTGGAGTGTTCACTAACGATATGCTGTGTTAACATCACTACACTGTAAAGTTTAGTACACTTTACTGTCTGGCAAGAGTAGCTATTACTTACCCATGATATAAACTAATGTGTGCTTATCAGCTCTTCAATCATACAGTCGATGGTCCTGTCACGCACTGCACACGATAACTCCCACTACGTTTTATGGTGTGCCTCCTTTACCGTGGGGGTGCCTCCGCCGATGCATTGGTAAAACGGTCGTCAGTAAAATGCATGTTGCAGACTGAATATAAGACGGTGGTAGGTGAAAGTGTGACACGTTTTCTATCATCTGCCCTCAAACACCGCACGCACAAATGCCATAATGAAAATGAACTGCACATTAAACCAAGAGGAGGAAACTAAAAAATAAAATGAAGACCCTCTGTTAGCTAACTTTCTGCAATAACTATATATACAGAGAGACATACCTACTGTAAGTTCTAAGTAAATTACATGATAAATTGGTTAGCTAGCTCCCAATGATGTTTATCGGTTTGATGCTCTGACTAAGCGAGCCATGACGGCGTGACAGTGCGCCTGCGCATGCTTGGAGAATGACGCAAAACCCAGTTTTAACAACTAAGCAACTTTTCAAACTTTGAGCACAAAATTAAGCTATTTGTTAAAAAATATTTGGCAAACTATGTGGGTAATCAACATTGTAAGGAAATGAAACATTTCAAAATATGAAACATCATAGAAAGGTCAAAATACACTGGAGGAGGGCTTTAACTGACGGAAGTGTCAGCAAACGCCCTGCTAATTAATAATAGGCACCAGATTTGCAAAATAAAATTTTACCTGAAGGTTAAATTAAATAAGTTAGAGTACTTGGATTACTTTTTTGTTGTAACGAATAACATAACGAGTCATGTTTTGCAATTCAATTAATCAGTTAAGTTACGTTTTCAAAAAAGCAATCTATTACTGTTATGTTTACTGTTTTTTTCCTGTTCCTTTTGTTGCCACAAAACACAAAAGAAAATCCATTTGACACATTTGTATTGTTTGTTAGTTTCCTACTTCTTGGAGGCTACCTACGCACAAGTGGAAGGTAGCCAATCCTACAGTTGTCAGTGCTCACATGTTGCTCAGCTAGCGAGTGGACAGCCTATGTTGTGAAAGTAAGTAACTAAGCACTGACCTAGTTAACTGGTTGTGTGTTGAACATGATGTACTGTAAGCTAAGCAAGCTCGTGTTTTTTTGTTTCCTTGAGGCAGCTGTGCCTAATATGCCCTCTGCCCAGTTCAGATTGTTAGCAGCTGCAAAAGCACCAACTCTCAGGTACAGTTGAATTGCAAAAGAAATTACATGTTGTATGAACTTGTTAGGTATGTACTGTGCCCCGGTACCCTCTTGATATACGTTTACTTGTAATGAAACATAATTATAAAGGTGATATTGCGTTTGATATTCCTGTTTATAGCCTGCAGAGTTACACATTAAGGCCTGTAGACTAGGCTGTGCCATGATGGTAGAGTCAATACATTTATAGGTAGGCGTACAGTAGCTGCTGGACAATATAACATGAGCAGCAATTGCAAAGGAGTTTTCATTTTTGGTAATACAAAAGTACTCCAACAAGGTAAATAAATTACTTTTTAATGGCAGTAATCTTCTAATGTAAGAAGTAACGTTACCCAACACCGGTTACAGCCTTCTAATGAAGCTTCTTAGACCCCTTTCTGCAAAATGCGTAACAGTAAACAACATAGACTTTTCTGCATTAACAAATAACATAAGTTCTGCATAACAACCTAAATATGTTTTTTATCTTATTGACTTGTAAACTAGATCATCTAATGATTATGTTGACATGCATTCGTGGAAGTTAATTGGAATTGAATGAACCCCTTAGCCTTTTGTGCTTTAAACTGTGCCTAGCAGAAATTGTTAGATTGAAATTGTGTTATAACTGAAAAATACTGTCAAATGTTCCCGATATACTGATGCATAATGTCATAAAGGGTTCGGTTTGGTTTGCTAAGCTAAACATTTTACACATTTAACCAAAATGTAATGAAAGACCAAACCAAGTTGTGACCATCCATCAGTTAGCAAGCACTCTGCAAATTATAACCATTTTATTTAAAAATATATGTTTTGAGGGGAAAATGTTTTTTTTTTTTTTTTTTTTTTTTTTTTTTCAGTTTGGCACATCTTATCCACTATACAGATATGAAATTGTACATATTACAATACAAAAGGAAAATGGGAAGAGAAAAGCATTCATTTTGCACAAAGAGATTGGGTAAGAGAGATGGGTTGGTTCACTTGTTTTTTTTTTTTTTTAATTTTTTTTATTTTTAGGCAGGGTGGGGACCAGGGCTAGAGGATGACAAGAGGAAACAAAAACAGTTTACAAAGAGCCAGAGTGCAAAGGGATGCATATTTCTACAAATTGTGTGGGTTTCAGTCACCTAGTATAACCGTAGTCTTGAACAGTGACATGTGAAATGATTGACCGAACTTTATGGGAATTCCACATACATCCCCATTCTTATCAAAAATGAGGTCTCTCCATAATGTTTGCTGAATGACATTAAGAAATATTCAACTCAAATTTGACTTTTGATCATGCAAGACAGATTAAAAGGGCAACAGTAAAAGCAGTGCGAAGCTGGAATAAAACAAAATTAGAAACAAAGTGGAAGTGCTTGGCTTCAGTGTATGTAATGTTTTTCATTGAATTCAAATGTGAAGTGTAACATTTTTTGGTTTCCACAAACACTTACTTAGAAGTTGTTGTAGGCATCCTATGAGCATGTGAAGAGAGACATTTACACAAGCGTTCATTTAGAAGTTTGAAGCCAAATTTTGACGGGCTCAGTAAAGAGACAAAACCACAAATGGTACATCCTGACCACCTCTAGGGGGCACCAGCCAACGAACTCTATCCTAATTGCTCAAAACCGGATCTCGCATCAAGGTGCTGTGCTTTGCATCTTGCCATCTTAAATGCTGACTTTTTTAAGTATAGCCAAAAGTTGAACTATCCAGAAATGACACATTCTGATGTCCAGTGTTAAGAATTTTACTTGAATTTTTCACTGTTCAGCAACATTTTCACTACAAGTCAACACATGAGCTATCCAATGTTTGCTGTGTTGTCAGTGTGCATTTCAAGCCCAAGGTGCTGTCTGTCAGTATTTATCATTCCATTCTCTACCACCTTTACTTGGCCAGAAAGAATGGTTGGTTTTAATAAACTAAGTCATTACCCCATAGCTGCCCCTCTCTATCGTCCCATCAATTCCTCCCAATCCCTATCTCTTTCACCCTGCCCCCACCACCAAACTGAACACAAAGAAGTGCGGAGCTGCGGCAGCAGCTTTAGTCTGATGCTAATGCACATCCTCTCCCTGCTGCATACAAATGTGTCCTGACCCAGGCTTGCTGTTTGCTTATCACTGGATCTCCATTTGCTTTCAGGGTATTGACCGCAGTTTAACTTGACACTAGTGACTGCTAATCACGGATCGGATATAATATTTGTTATTCACAGTAAGACCGTAAATGACAAGTCTGTATCCGTAACACTAAGAATGATTTAAATTATAAGGTTCAATGATGTTTTAGTGTGATGAGGAGGATGATTCTACTAGAACTATTTTTGAGTGTCTGAACAAGCTAAATGTTGCTGGATCACTGGTGTGGGTGACAGAATATTAGATTCTTTTTGCCTTGCCTTAATTGGTTCAATCTTGAGCCTGTCAGTCCTGATTAGTGTGTAAGCAGTAAAGAGACTGGGCTACTGGGAAAGGTTTTATTTTCAGAGTGAAATGCTCTCCTGTCTGGCATTTGCGCTGTTCATTACCCTTTCAATTGCTATCCTCACACCTCACAGTAGCTTGTCTTTATATTGATCCTTGTATGTAATAGCAAATCAGCTAACTATACTTACTAGGTTAAGCTATTGAAAATATTATGATCACAGTGTATGTGGTATTTTGGATGTAGAGAATCCATGTTACAGGTCATTGTACTTTTAAAAGTCTAATAATTTTGTTCTTGGATGTCCAAGGTGAGACGTTCTTGCGTTTTTGTTAAGTGCTGTAGTATATTGGAGATTAACCACAGATGAACAATGCTTAGTGTTTCCCACAGGTTGAGAATTTATTTCTGGTGGTTAGCCCTCGTGGGCAGGAGCTCCAACATCCAACAGCTTCAGTCAGTTGCAATACAGCATTGCATTTACGAGCTAACGTCTGATTAAAGAGGTAATTTTTCCAATATATAACTCAACATAAATTGACCATGTTGGCAGTCTTTTCAGTCAGTACAAACATTTAGTTGCATTTCCCCACACAGAAGAATTTTTGGAAGAAATCCAAATTTCCAAAAAACAAGAGAAAAAAATCCCTTTTTTGGCCAAGGGCAGCTGTTTTTTCAGGGGAGGGGGGTTGCCCAAATAAATGAGAAACACAGAGCCATTTGATCTGAGTGAAGGTTATATACTTGCCTAATTGACTCATGTCTGATTTAGTAAATGTGATCTCATTAGTGTATACTGAATAGGATGTCAGGGTTCTTCTTTCCTCAAGAGGGTTTATTTGTAACAATAATTCCATTTATTATTTCTTCGTGGCCTTTAATGTGTCATAGTTCTGTTCAACATGGAACTGTAAAACATAAGCATTCTGATTATTGATCCAATTAATTTGCCCTGGTGATTGAGTGATTGCCTGTGGTGCAGTTGGAAACATGATTTAAAATATTTACTTTTTTAAAAGAAATAGACATAAATCACATTTCTCCACTTAATGTATTCTGTTAGCAGAGGGCCGTTTGGCTAAGTATTTTCTCTGTACTGCAGAATATAGAGACATTGTGGAGACAAATCTCACAGTTTACAATTTTCTTGTTTAAAATGATTGCCCCTGCCTGATATGAACAACTTTGCATTCATAGAAAAATAAATTTGTGACTATCTCTACATCATCCCTAAACGGTCTTGTTAAACTTCTCATTGTTGCATTCAACATTTCTCACATATTCTCAAATCTCACTTGTAGAAATTATGCTTTTTACATAAACTGGAAAAAAAAATCCAAAAAGCAAACCCTGTATTATCTGAAATGGTCAAATGGCAAACCATATGCTCTAGGAATAAATAAGAGTTCATACTTCACACTCTTTGTAAGGCAGTTGCTGACACTTGCACTGCCCATAGCCGTTGATGATCACGAGTGCCCCTTCTTCATGGCTGGGTTCGTACTCATTATAGGGTACCTGTGTAGCTAGATCTGCCATAGGTTGCCGCTGCTGGGTCCTCATCTGTCTGCGGTTCTGAATAGCCGAACAGTGGCGTATCCGGCGCAGGGTGGGAGGGCAGCACTTCCGTGAGATATACACAACGAAAATGATGAAAAAGAATGAAAACAGAAGGGCCATAGTTCCAATGATAACCCTATGAGTCATAATAGTGTTGTCCATTGCCGAGAAGTCCTCCGTTACAGCTGCCTCTTCCAATGTAGTGGTTGTTGCTTGAGCAGTGCGTGGTGTTTGTGTTGTGGTTGTTGTGGTAGTGACTGTGGTAAAGCTCCCAAAATCCTCTGCATAGTCCTGCGTGGGGGTCGGCAGCATAATTCCAAACAAGGAGCTTGTGATCTCTGCGGGTATTGTTGCGTCTGTGGTTGTACTAATGGTCTGAACAGCCGGCGCTGAAAAATTCTGGCAAAGCTGGAATCCATAAACAGCATCAAGTATCTCCTCCCCTTGGGCATATTCAGGGCTATGGCAGAGAATGGAATGTTCCCACCTTCCCTTAAAGGTGCTTAGCCAAGTGGCCAGAGAGCAAATCCTTTTGGTACATTCCCAAAGGTTGCTAGACAGCCCAACGGTACCCAGAGACTGCCACATATCCATAACTTGGGGATCCAGACTGCTTAGTTTGTTGTTATCCAGCAGCAAAATCTTTAAATTTGGCAGCGTTTGAAACACATCGGGTGTCAGAACACGAATTTCATTTCCTGTGAGGTCCAGCTTCTCTAAAGTGGTCCAGGTCCACTCCATGCCACATGTCAGGTTACTGATCTTATTCCATTGCAGATACAGAAACTGGAGGGCAACAAGGCGGGGGAAATGAGCCAAGTTGATCTTGGTCAGCTGATTGTGCTCCAAGTGGAGCTCTTTAAGCTTAATTAGCCCAGCAAATCCATTCCGTGCTAAACTCCGTAGACGGTTGCTGCTTAGGCCCAGATATTCCAGGCTGCGGCAGTCCCAGAATGCCCGAACAGGTGTGGTGCGAAGTAAATTGGAGCGGAGGTGGAGTATCTGGAGCTTCCTCAGTCCATGAAACAGCTCAGGTTCCAATGCAGTCATCTGATTGAAGGACAGATCCAGTATCTGGAGATTGATGAGGTGGATGAAGGTTGTGTTGGGCAACTTGGTGATACGATTGGAACTCAGATTTAGGTCCTTCAGCTTGTAGAGACCTTGAAAGGCATCCTCTTGTACTGTGGTAATCTGATTGTGGTCTAGATGTAGCCATGTGAGCTGGCTGAAGCCATAGAATTGATCAGGGCTGAGCTCAATGATGCTATTGTGGCGTAGTGACAACCCCAGGGCCCCCTTGTCCACACCATCTGGGGGCGCCTGAAGCCCCTGGGTGTCGCAGTAGAACTGCAGGTCCTCACAGCGGCATTTTTGAGGGCAGGTTGTGCACGATGCAGGAGGGAGCAGGCACACTAGGAGCATGCTGATCACACACAGACACAGAGCCGCTGGTGCAGGTCCCACCAATGGCCACCTTGAATGGAAACCTGGGTGGGTTCAAAGATAAGAAGATGAACTGTGGGGCGGGAAAGCTCATCTCTGCATAGCACTTATTACTAATTCATGATGACGATTGTGCTTTTTGTGTGCGTTCTTTCTTTCAAATGCATACACCAGATTAGATTTTTTATGTCAACAACTTATTTACACACTATATGTAAACAAGATTTGCTTGAGCTTAGGTTTAATGACGGTGCCTTTTATTTCATCTAATGATCAATTACATACATGAGCTGGACTTTGGTTTCACTCCTTTGCAATTTATATTTAGCCTGTTTTGTTCTTATTTTGTGCTATTTAATTTGGCTAAAATTGTAATTTTCTGCTGATTACTGTCATTCAATTATCAATTATTACTGTTTTTTTTTGTGTTTTTTGTTTTTTTAGCATCTCAAATATGCTGTTGTCCTTCTTACATTTTTTAAATTGAGTTATTTTCTTAAATCTTTATCACCTAAGAAGTCTGTTTTACAAAACAAATGGTATTTAAAATGTATATATTCCCAACTGGTGTCTCGTGAAGAAGGAAAAATTAAGGACATTTGAGGTAAATAGACTAGGCTGAAGAGCTTTTAGTCCTTAACATCACTTGCTCTTACTTGTATTCCCTATTCATGTCCAGACCTGCCATATAAAGGGACTAACTTACCCATTCTTTTGTGCACATCGGAGGCTGCATTCAACTGTCCTTTTCCGCAGACTCTTGGAGCAGCCAGATGGAAGAAAAATCCAAAGGGAAAAAACCCTTTTGAGTAAGCACAAAAGGAATCAGCCTCTTTGGAAATAAAGCAATTCTGAGCCCACCCAATTGAAACAAAATATGAAATTCCATGTCCCAAGATGATGTGTACTCCTGTTATTTTGTCCTTTAAAATCCAAGCTTATAGAACGGTTGAATCTTTTCCTTCATCCCACGAATCCGTGAAATAAATATTTATATATATTTTTTTAAGTTGATCAGTTGCATCCAGAGCGACTCCGGTGATCAGACCCCCCCTCCCCTTCTGCTTTTTTTCTCTTTTTCTTTTTTTTACCCTTTTGTTTCCCTTCCACCGCAATGATGTCAGCTCAGATGGTTAATTGAAGATCAAGCGTTCCTCCTTCATGGCTGTGGTCTTCCAACCCTAACTTGTTGATGGCAGCCACAGATCCTGCTTCCAATGCCGGCTCAGTCTCAGCATAGCCTCTGCAGAGCTGTGAGCGGAGCCCTCGTCTGCTAGCTGAGACGCAGGGAGAGAGAAAAAAGCAGAGCAGGGAGTCAGGGATGTTATTCTGTGCTTTTTGTTGCAGCCACTCACTGCTACAGAGTGGTGGCAGCCTGGCGTCGATCATCACTACTGTTTCTCTCTCTCTTTTTCTCTCCCACACTCACAAACACCCTCTCACTCTCTTGCTCAGTCACTTGCTCTCTGCCTCATACACACTGCTTGTGCACCTCAGTCTTCCTCCACCTCCCTCTTGCACCCCCCCCCATCCCTCCCACTGGCTCGTCACCATCAGAATATTGATATCTTGAACGTGTTGCGGCAGCTTGCTGTTGACATTAACCACAGCTGTAAATCTCAGCCTCGCCTTGCCGTTGTTCTGCATGTGCTATGCATGAATGTATACCGGAGACATAAACATAATAACATAACAAAGCAATATATAGTGGTGGTGGGGTGGTGATGGCGCAATGGATAAGACACCTGCCTTTGGTGTGAGAGACCCAGGTTCAGTCCCCCACTATGACCCATCCACCATTGTGTCCTAGTTGCTCCAGAGGCGTGCGACCTCTGACATGTATAGAAAGCGTCAGCTAAATGAATAAATGTAAATAGTTTGTAGCATGTGGCTCGGGACAACCTAAACATGAGCAAGGGAAGGAAAAGTGTGCTGCATCGCCATTTCTCTGTACAGGAGCAAGTATGCTATAGCAGTGCTAACATAGGAGTCATTATTTACATATCCTAAATGCAGTGCTATCATTTTTGAGTACTGGCAGCTGATGTATGACCAGCTGCTCTGAAGTTGAATTAGGCTAACTTTTAACAAGGCCAAATACTTGCTTGATCGTGTGAACCACAAGGTGATATATTCCCCCTGTCAACCACTTTTTTTCACTCTAGCATCTTTCACTTAAATGCGACCTCAGTCTTTTTATATTTGTGTATTACTTTGATTACTTTTTCTGTGATATTTAATATGGATTTTAGCCCTTGTTGCTCCTGTTACAGACAATATATTGTACTTAATGAAGGCAAAGAACAACATTTCAACTGTGTGCCTTAGCGTTAGATGATAGTAAAAGAAACTGAAACAAATTTTCATTTTTTTTATAATTCGAATTTGTATGGATAATTATTACCAAATAATAATGTACTCCCTAATTAATTTTATTACATAACTTTCAGGTCTCAAGACAAAACATGCATCTGGCTTTCCAGGTCACTTGACCAGCATGCTGCTGTCGTTTTTCCATTTTTATTGTGGTAGACTACATCTCCCACTGGGACTCTTCTGCAAAATGTGACAGTGAAAGACACAGAGAAAAACATGCTTAAATCTCAGGGGGTATGATGGGTATTCCCTCTATCTGATGTGTGCCAACTTTAGATTTGGAATCCAGGATGGTTAAAAAGCATTCTTAAAAGCAAAAATGTGAAGTTATAAATTGATGTTGAATTATTTGAACTTACTGAAATATAACAAAAATATCATGGACCTCTGTGATCATTTGACACTTGGCTCACTTGACTTTTTTCCATTGAATTTTTCCATATTCCAGCAGACTAGTGGTTTTGTAGAAAAGGGATGTTCCTAAATCTGTGCTAAAGGAGAGATGGATAGAGACTCACTTGAGTATCATAAAAGATGCTGCAGAGAAACTGCCTCCATAATAAGCACCTGAAGAAGTGCTTTAGAACCCTCTGGCGTGGAAATGAAATATAGACTAGGCATGAATGAAACAGGATTGAGAGAGTAGGGACGGAGCAGGCTAAAGCCCTACCATGGCACTGCATCCAACCGGCACAAAATCACAGGGGATTAGTACCGTTGGAGCTGCCTGGCCCCTAATGTACACAACCCCCCAATGGGCAAAGGGCACTGGGGGGTGGGGCAGGTCAATACCACCACCATCTATGGTGTTATGTCGCAGTTGATTTGAGCATTATAAAGGGGATGACCAGCCCTAGAGTCCAACTGGTTCTTTGCATTTTCTGTTGCCATTTGCTGTTCATCTAACTTTGCTCTAATTTTATTATTCTCCACTATCTGTCCATCTATCTCTCTGTCTCTCACTCTCTATTTCTGTCTTTCTGTCCATCTCTTCATCCCTCGTGAAAGTTTTAGATTTTCCACATTTTCGCTTGAGCAGTTTGCAGAATGTGACTGAACATCTTTCTGCTCTCAGTGGGGACCAGTGGTTAGGGCTTTGACTACTGTGTGCCGTTTAGCTGTGTAACTACTGCCAGTGGTGTTGCAGCATTACTGTTCATAATTTACATAGTAAGACGTGTGGTAGACTGTGACTGTGATCAATGCAACTTTCTCATTTATGATGAGATAATATACACCTCTGGTGAAAAGATTATTTTCTATATTACTTCCCATTATTTAATGCGCAGTGTGAACAAAAAATAGACCTTGTCCGCACTGATGTGGATATATTTACACACATGCCTTCTCATCTAACTTGTGGATTTATATCCACAAACAACATCCAATCTGCCGTTTTCAACCCCAGAAATGGAGATCTGTGAAAGAAACGGATCTCAGGGTGCAGTGTTGATGGGGAGAGCAGAGCTTTTTGAAAATGCTGACATGCTTGTTAAGCATGTCAATCTTTCCCAAACATGGTCAGTGTTCCTAGCAACAGTGTTAGGAAGTCAACTCTATGCCAAGCCAATCCACACTTTGTCAAACAATGTTTCCAGGGTTTATACATTTGCGAGCCATTACTGATGTGGGATTGTTAAGCTCAAAAAGACATTGAATGTGATATTGAGCTATACAAATAGCTTACAACACAAATTGAATTAGGCAACAATGGATGAATGGAAAATACCAAGACAAACCTATTTAAAATCGGGGATGCCAAATCAAATTATATTTGTCCCCATCAGAGTTTTGAAAGATTTAGTCTACCAATACCGTGTCCTCTCAGTCTTTCTGTCTCTCTCAACATAAAAATTAGAAATTAACATAAAGGAATTTCTGCATGTTTGACAGCTCAATAGCTCTGCATTAAGAAACAAAAGGCTGTATCACCGGCTACTTAAATGGTTGACTGTAATATATTGTACAGTGTTCTGCACAGTATCCGTGAAGAGAGCTGTGGTGGCAGGAAAGCTTGGACAGGATTTGGATAGCCTGTTTTTATCCAAGTGTGAATAGAAATTTAGATTTAAATGCAGTTTGCGGCAGCAGCACTTAAGTGGGCGATGTGCCCATGAATTATACCACTAATATAGATGCAAATCAACAGTTTTTTAATTCAAAGCAGCTGTGCTTTTTACTGACGCATGCTTTCAGTGTGTGTATGTTATTAATTGAAACTCTTGGCCACTGTTTTTGTGTGCTCCATGGTTCGCTCATAATGCTATCAGTTAGGAAATGATTCCAGTGTTTTATCGGAGGGCAGTGGGGAGCTTTTGACAGCTGGTCTACCTAGAGGACAATGGTTTACAATAAATGAAAGAATCAGATATGGATCCAGCTGGGTATCGGAACAACGCTAGCTGCATGAATGTTTAAAGGTCACTTTTACTCTCACTGGAACTTATTACATACAAATGAGTGGATGGATGAATTAATGGTTTTATTTTTGTGTCTGGTCATTTACATGAACCGTCCCTCATGGGATTATTCAGTTACATTCATTAACAACAAAATAGAAAATCTGATGTGTACCCAAAACAATCTGACAGAATATATTGCCCTCATGCCGTCCGTCCATCCGTCCGACGCTTTTATCAAAAGTAGTATCTTTATTTATTCGGCTTTATCATTTTTTTATCAACACAAAATACCTCACCTCCTACTACTCAGTAATTCCTCTTCCATGTTCATGTTTCAGGCGGGAAGGAAGGACAGGAGTGATGCTCTGAACACAGCCATCGATAGGATGACAAAGAAGACCAGAGACCTTCGCAGACAGGTTTGCCCCCCCCATCTTGAATGTTTTCCATTGTGTCTTCATCTCACACATAACCTCAGTGTTCGTGGTCACTGTGGGCATTGAATGTTTAAAAACAAAACAAAAACAAAGTTATATAGTTCAGCTAATGTAGTCAACTAGCTGTCCTCTTAGGAGGCTGGTGTTTGGTGTGGTGAGGATGGATTTTGGTGCTCGCTGTTTTGTTTGTAAATTCAGTTTTCTGCTGTGAAACGTGGAGCTCTCTCACCAGAGAAGAGCTCAAAAACATCAGGGAAACAACACCAGCGGATTAGTTTCTCTCTGTTCTCGTGTCATCAGTGGAATTATTGGACCTTCTGGTCAATGGTGCTCTCACCTTTGCTCATGCAGTGAAACACCAGAGGAGAGTGAAACGTGCGTCTACACCAGTGTGCACACCATTACCGGGAATATTTCTCTCCAATGTGCAACAGACTGGATGAACTTCAGCTATTGGTGGGGAAAAAGTCTTTAATTCATCTTCTGTTTTGTGCTTCATGGAAACGTGGCTGTGTGGATCTATAGTGGATTCCCAACTGGACCGTGACACAGATCTTTCCAGAAAAATGAACGGTGGATGCTTCTGTGAATAGTTGCTGTTGTAACAAAACAGAATTATTCTCCTGATCTGAAATATTTATTCATAAACTGTTGAACCTTCTACTCCCCTATGAATTTTTTTTGTTTAATGTCCGACCAGGGAGGATCATATTCTGGATCACTGTTAACACTGTTGGTCCCTGTGCTGCACTGGGACACTCTGACCAAGTCATGGTCCACCCCATTCCTGCATACAGACAGAAATCAAAGCTCTCTAAACCTGTTGTGAGGATATCAAAGCAGTGGACCAGACCTTTGCGTGTGCTTGGACTGTGGTGACTGGGATTTTTTCAGGACTGTTATCAACAGTTTGGATGAGTTTACAGAGGTTGTGATGTGTTACATCACCTTATGTGAGGACAGCTGTACACCATCACCCACCAGAGTGAGTTATAACAATGACAAACCCTGCTTCACAGCTAAACTCAAGCAGCTAAGACCAGTTTTCAGCCAATGACTCTGCTTCTGTGTGGAGTGGCTCAGACAGATCACCAACTACAAACCTAAAGCCCCCCCACTCCATTAACGACCTGTGCCTGGCCAACGAACTGAATGAGTTCTACTGTCGCTTCAAATCCTCCACCATCATCTCTGTATCCAAAAAAACAAGGACCACAGGACTTGAAGACTACAGACCCGTTGACCTGACCCCTGTGGTAATAAAGTAATTTGAGCGCCTTGTTTTGGCCCACACTCATACATCACAGACCCACCCCTGGATCCCCTGCAGTTGGCCTA